ATCCTCATCGTCAGGCGCTCCATGTGCATTCGACGTCGATTGTCAAGATGATAACTTAAAGCAACCGGCAGAATGACTCGTCCCGTTGGACCTCTGGGAACTCCTCCGTGACGGCTCTCGGTCATTCCCAGATTCTTCATATCATCGCGTACTGTCCTTTCTCGCCCACTCACATTTCACGTCACAATCTCAAGCCCCTCTTCATCCCACTCCACAGATTCTCCAGCTTGCCGGACGACACGACGCTCTAGAAAGAATGGTGGAAGGCAACAACCTCAAGAAGATGCTGCGGTCATCGTCGATTCAGTGGGGTCTCGGCCCACTTTGGCAGACATGTCCACAGAGGTTCGATTGTTATTGAAGAGCTGCTGGCGGGAATGATCAGGTCGTCAAATTGTTGGGAAGGAGGAGCCTTGTGGATGGGAGATCATCGATCAGCGCTCAGCATCTGGACTGGCCTCAAGTGCCGAAGGGCACACAGGAGATGCGCTCGCGGTTTTGCACGGAAAAGGATGTGAGATTGGCGAGTTTCCCGTCAAGTTAACATGGCAGGTAGTGCCAAGTAGAATTCCGTGCATGCTGGCTTATGAACCCGCGCGTCGAGCTGGTTAACGATTCACGAGAACCTCTTCCAGAACATCCGGCAATCTTGTCGTACTGGATGGTGTTAATGAACACAGACGAGCTGGAGTCAGACCTGACCACAAAAGATCAAGCAGAATCGATGGGTGGCCTAATCCCCGGTGGTGTACTGGCTGTATAGCAGGATGGATCCAAGAAGTATTCATAAAAGCTTCCCGCCAGGGAGTCTTCTTGCCCGCAATCTTTTGTAGACCTTTGTTAGTGGGTCAGGATCATCCGCCGGCGGTTGCAGTGGAAAATATAAACGCACCCAAGGCTAGCATTGCCGTTTGTTCCATTACTCCATTACCATAGTACGCAGCGATGTGGGATCCTTCAAAGTTACCCACCTGCCGCTACTCGCAAGAACGCCTGGGGTATAAATCTAGCATGATATGAGCAAAGAACCTATTACTTGAAAACAAACGTAAAGAACATCGCCAACGTTGTAGACCCTCAGCCATATCTCGACGCTTGATATCACAGAATAAATGAGTTCAACTGGTTCATTGTAAGGATAAAGGCAACCCAGCAAGCCGTGGTTGGTCACGTTGGCGTATTAAACCTATGGACGCGTCACACACTGGACTTGAGATTGTTGCTTTCACACTCCTTCTTTCGTTGGAACTCTTCGCATCTCTCCTCCCTCTCCCAGCTCACCCATAATGGGCTGTCTTTCCCCTTCTTCTCCTTCCCCCCCTCCTCTTCTCTAAGGACGTCTCCCAGTCTTCTCCATCCTCCTCCTTTTAATGCCAATCGACTTCATCGATACCAAACTACTTGAACGCAGATCTAAAAGCCAAGGATTACCCCAACTCGGCTGAACCCGTCAATTCATCACAAGCGCATTCGACTTTCGTCCCAGTTGCTGTCCGGGGGAAGATCGGCGCAAAGGATGGCGCAGTTACGCTTTCGAAGAGCAGGATGCACTTGGGATGCACCTGGTCAGCGGTGCGAGGATTCAGAGGGTGTTGAATGAGGCGCTGGCGGGTCAGAGTGTACTATCTTTGTTTTGGGCGGTTCGCGTGTGTATCTTCTTTTTCCTTCCCCTTCCTCTTTCCACCCAGAAACTCACATACGACCGCCTACACAGTGTCAGCATGCCACGGAGCAGGGGACGACCCTATCTCCCCTACATGCTACCCATCCCACTTCTTCCAATGGTGGAACACCGTTTTTCCACACCCAGCTACGGAACTGACAAACGGCGCCCTGCGACACACGAATTCGGGATACTTTGGCCATTGTAACTCGCACCATCTCCCGGATCAGACGGATTTGATTATTATTGAGCTGGATACGGAGGATGAACCGTACGTTTTCTTTTCGTTTCTTTCGGTTCTCTTTGGTTTCTTGTCTGTTTCTTTCGTATGACCCTTTTCTTTCTTTTTGCTTCTGTTCGTTATCGACCGCCTTGCGCCCACCCTTTTTATCACACACCTCATTGCCGCCTTATCGTCACCCCGCCCATAACATGGACTTTCCCACACCAAGCAAGGGTAGCCGCCCACAAGGCCATCCTATCTTGCTCATTTGTTCAGTTATCTTCTACCGTGGGGTCTCATTGTGGCTCTCTCTTCCGTCAGGTTTTTCTTCAGCTATGACCACTCCCGTCTTCTTCATAACCATTTCTTCACGAAAGGAGTTTACCCTACCCATCCCACGCTCCTCCATTTCCCATTTCCCAGAAATGCCCCACGTCGAGTTTGACGGATGGCGTTGTCGTGTTTATTTTCACTTCCGATCCCCTTACCCTCGCGTCCGCTTCGTTGTGGGTCGGGGAACTTGTCCTTCTTCAAGCGCGCGAGCTGTTGTGACCGTACTTTCTTATGCTCCTTTTTGGAAGGCATGGCGCGGACGTGTGACCCTTCCGTTCTTTTTATTCTCTTTTTTTTTTTTTTTTTTTCGCGGTTCCTTGCGTCTTTCTTCGGTTACGGTGATTCTGGTTTGATCGTCCCCTGGGCGTCCAGCTGTGTTTGGCATGCAGCCTGTGCATGTTTCTTACTTTTTTTTCTTCTTACGTTGTTGTTGAAAGCCCTGGAAGGAGAGTCCTTCCTTTTCGTTTCTCTTTTATCCTTTCTTTGAGCGCGACGAGCCGTTGTGACCTACCTTTTGTTCTTTTTTGGGAACCCATGGCGCGGAATCCCTTCTTCTCTTCTTGTCGCGTTTTCTCCGATTTCGTTGACTTTGGTTTAGTTGTCCTGTTGATAACCTCCAGGTGTCCCCTCACCCACCCACCGAGCGGCGTTTGGAGGGCATCCTGTCCATGTTTCTTCCTTTCTTTCCCTTTCTTTGCGTCTAGACTTTGGCTTCATTTCCTATATCTTTCTTGTCAGGCCTACTTTCATCCTTTTCCTGGAAGTTGGGGTCTCCCTTTTGTCATTGAAATGTGACCGCTTTTTTGCTTCTTTTCGATTGTGTCCAATTGAATGTTTTGCGTTCGTCCTCTCGGCTTTTACTTCAGCTTAGTTGCAGTCTCGGGCTCGACTCCTTTGGCTTTTATTGCCCATTGGGGCTCGTATGTCGTCATCCTATTCTGTTTTTCCGCTTTGTCCTCATTTTACGATCTTACGTACTCTAAACTTTTCCCAGTTAGAATGTGGAACGTCCTTCCGCTTTTTTTTTCCTTTTCGTTTCTTCTATATATTGCGACCAAGGATTTCGTGTTGAATTCGGCTCTTTTGGTTTTTTACTGCATGTCTCCTTTCTGTTTCCGCTTCGTCCTCATCTTGGGTCTTGGCGTTCTTCATCCTTCAACTTCTCCCATTCAAAACTTCCTTTTACATTCAATCTCTACCTTCCTCTTTCTCCCCTTCTCCCGTCAGCATCGAGACCAACCCATCCCACAGGAACCAAGACATGACGGACCACTTTGAGATCCTCATCCGCTCCATCCTCATCAGGCCCGAAAAACACGCCGTCCTCCTCCTCGGCCACTTCTCACCACAAACACACCAAACATACGGTTTAGCAGGACCAGACCACTGGCACAACATCGTCGCACAATTCTACGACGTCCCACACGTCTCTGTCAAATCTGCCCTCTTCCCTGATTACATGCGTGACCCCAAGTCTGTCCAGAAGGACTTTGTTGATCCTGTCCTTGCCAGCCCTGCGGGGCATGAACTTATCTCCGAGATACTCGTGGCGTAATTCCAGAGCCAGATATGTACGGCGTGGAGCGTGGCTACTGGGTCGTCTTACGAAGCTGTCCCAGTGCACACCGCAGGGTCTGAAGGAAGTGCAGGCGACGCCCATGGGCTCTTTGGGGGCATAGGTCAGCGCCCTGGAGTCCCTGAGCCAGAAAAGGGTGATATAGCCGTTGACGCAGCTGTAGAAAAGAAGATGGCAGCTATGAAAGACCGAGGGGATTCGTCTTCCTCCTCTTCCTCGTCACCCCAGCTCCTCACCGTCCCCTCTGGCCGAATCAATACCCGACCAAACGGGAACAGGCCCTTTGAAGAGATCGCACCGTTCTGCGTTTTCGCAAACGATCTCATCAACCCCTTACCACCGTCGTTGTTCTACGGCTTAGGGTGGTACGCACACCATCCGAGCGGGAGTGGTGGGGATGCCCTGATTACGGCTGCGCATTATTGGCATTCGGCGCTTCCGACGAGCAAGTTGAGGATACCAATACAGATTGGAGGTGGGGATATTGGGGTGTATTATTTGAGGGAGCCGGTGGGTTTTGTTGGAGAGGGGAGTTCGGTTGAGTGTTGGGTTGATGATAATTATGCGGGTGCGAAGGTTATTGAGAATGCGGCGGATATTGGGGATGCTATACCTACGTACGTTCTCTTTTCTTTTCTTTTTTCTTTGCACCCACGCACCCCGCTGATAATTGAATATTTGTTTGTAGGTTGAAGATGATCGACCATTATGTTGGACGAGGCTCGCATTTCGTGGAATGTCAGTTGTTGGGTGAGGAAGGACAGAGTGTGCCGATGTTCAAGATTATCGGGATTTTTGCGACGTGAATCCTTGTTACTTATTGATAGGAAAGGACTGAGTAGCGTACGGACGTTCCCTGCTTTTTAGGATGTAGAATATGATTTTGTGTATTCGAAACGCACACGGGAACTGCAGAGATGACTAATTGCAATTTCGACTTGGACGACCACCACCACAACTACAATCCAGCTAAAACGCACCATTGCTGGAGTTATGCGAACTGGAGAGCTTCCAGACTATTTTCTATCTCAACTTCTCTCGGTGCGCACCACAACTCAGTCAAAACAGCCCCGGGAATATTAATCCAGGCACCCCCTTGCTTTAGATACCACGCAAATTGCTTAAAATGACAGACGCCCTGACACTGCCCCCGGGCCGTCGTGTCTTCCCTTGTCATCTCTCGCACTCATAATCATGGCCGATCAAATGTCGCCTACTGCAAAGAAATCGAAGAAGAAATCCGGACGCATACGAAATTTCCATCAGGGAATTGACTTTGTTATGATATAGCCGTATCTACTTTTGTAAAGTATGTATTCGGCCCAAAAAATACAAGAATGATAGTCGACATTGAATAGAAATATATAGGAGGATAGTTATTGTTGAAAGCTTAATGAATGGAAGTTCGCGGAAGGACTGTCAAGCGGTATATCACTGATTCTTCACGACAATTCTCCGCCGGAAAAGTAATCACCAGCTTTGTTTGAAAGACTTTATAGAGGAGGGCTTGGATGGCAGCCTTCACAATCTGCAAAAGTATGGAGAGCTCAGACAACGACTGTAATATCTGCAGCTAAATGTCATACGCCATAATTCCGGCTCTCCAGGGCAGATCTTCATCGAATAAGTAATACCCATCTTCTAATCTAAGACTTTACATTGAACGTCACAGGTGGCAGCCTTCACGATTCGAATAATGATGGCAAGCTCAGATAATGACCGGAAGATCTGTAGCTGAATGTCAAACGGCATATTTGCGGCTCTCCACGGCAATTCTTCGTCGAAAGAGTAATCCCCAGCTTCCTATCTAAGGCTTTATATTGAACGTCACAGGTGGCAGCCTTCACGATTCGAATAATGATGGCAAGCTCAGATAATGACCGGAAGATCTGTAGCTGAATGTCAAACGGCATATTTGCGGCTCTCCACGGCAATTCTTCGTCGAAAGAGTAATCCCCAGCTTCCTATCTAAGGCTTTATATTGAACGTCACGGGTGGCAGCCTTCACGATTTGAATAATTATGGTAAGCCCAGATAATTAATTGGAAGACTACCAGAAGATTTGTAACTGAATGTCAAACGGCGTACTTATTTGTTATTTACCTCAGAATAATCGCATGTGCAAAGCTGTCAAAATATTGTTTTGCTTGCCGCAAAATCTGCAGCAAATGCTCGTCTTGCACAGTAATAAATATTCTTGGCCTATCATGTATGGGTTTTATATCTAGCCGATTGATATATCCGCAGTGATGAGAGACGACAGCCACCGCAGTAATCGGAGAAAGGTGTATTGTATGGCAACTGCCTCAAGAGAGAAATCTGATTTCCGGCCTTATTCAGGCCCAGGTAATTCGTTATTGGCATTATGAACCACCCAATCGCCGAAATTTTTGCCACAGATCTTCGGTTAACATCGTCCTGTGCTCGCTTTGATCATCCTTAACCTAATCGGAATCGCTACAGGCTTTCATTGAGAAGCAAAAAAAAACAGACACCAAGCGAGACCAGCTCAGATAATCTATATGGTGCTTGTAATTCCTTCCCAATGATTGCTGAAATTATGTATCACTGCAACCTTTCAATAGGCTTTTGCCAAAATTTTAAACCCTGACTGCGAGGTGCAACTTGCAAACTACGATATAACATTTTTACAGTTTGTAATGCCTTACAAAGTTATGTACAAGTCCATGAAAAGGGCAGGGGCATAAGCCTCGGCTGTTTAAGTATTTGATGAGGGACCAGCCTCAATTCGAGCTCGCATCATGGCGCGCTTCTCCCTGATTTTAGCCAACGCGCTGTCTTTTGCAATGGTCCGCTGCGCAGCGGAGTAGGAAGGGAACACCTGCCTATGCACTCCGATGAGCCCATCTGTACTGTGAACTTGAAGTAGTACGTACCTGTTCCACCAAACATAGAGATCATGAACTTCCTGACTTTCGTAAGGGTCTTCAAGCAATTCGAGAATGCTGGTGTAAAATCTTTCGGTGTCCGTCACGGTGTCCGTGCGAGAAAAGACCGGAGATGATGTCAGGGCAAAGCGCACCTGTGAGTCAAGTTTATTGATATTGTAATTGAAAAGAGTTGGTATATTTGATTTGAACAGACCTGAGTAGCAATATAGGCAATCGATCCAGGAGTGACACACCTCATGCCATGAAGACGGGCATTTCCAGACCTCGTAGCCTTCGGTTCTTTGTCGACAGAACTGGGTGAGGTAAATACGTATTTAAATGCCTTCAAAACAACGAATAAGTGAACGCCAAATTTGGAAAGAGTAAGAAGCATACGCGTGTCAAAATGGAGCTACGAAGTAGACCTCTCCAGGGATCTGTGGGGTCGTATTTATAGCCGGCATATAGGAAGATTGGCCATTGATCTCCGCTGACAACTAATTCTCCGCTTTGCAGTTTATTCTTTGTTCTCAGATGGAAGGGATATAAGCAGAGCGGGGGCCATTCACTCGAAAAAGAAACGCTCACTCGAGATCAGACCAGTTCAAGTTTGTAGGGCACAAAAGCGCCCCTGTGAGCTCGTGGTTAAACCCGCGGTCAACTTTCACATTGCGTGAAAGGGGAGGACTGAGAGCTTGACCTTTTGGAGCGATCCACTCTAGAACAGCACCCTTCAGGCTCTTGGTATCATCGCCTCGAGCACCCGAGGCACCCTTTCGAAGCTTTAGAACATCATTATTGATCAAGGAAGAAGGCCGATTGAATGGACACGCAACTTACAAGCTCTGCCACAATTCCGGCTTCGTCGTCGGAACCAGCTACCAATCGCTCCTCCAGACCTGGAACTGACTCGAGCAAAGTCAAAAATATCTTGTGCTCGTGCCTCTCCCTGTATCGCAGAGTGAATGCGGATTCAATGGACCGAGATGAATGTCATTACTCGGCGCTGAAAGATTCCTCTGGCCGATCCGCCAACTCTCCTAGTCTTAGTATTCCGTTATTGATTAATGCGTGGATATTGCACAAGGCGTGGACCGTTCGTCCAAAATGGCGTCCATAATGAACAAGGGGGTCTGCCCCACTCCTAGAGGAAACCATATTCAAAATTCTCACTTGTTCAAATTGAGATAGGGCGGGCTGACGGTTTCTTTCTAGGACCCAATTGGAGAGCGTATGGCCGATCTTCTGCTGAAAAGGTTGCTGGGGTAGACATTGTGAGGGGCCGAATTGTGCAAAGGTGGGAACTTAAAACCCCTGCGCACCACTTCGCACTTTATAGAGATTCAATGACACAAAATGACTACATACTACGGTTCAAATCAATCAAAATGCTGCGCAGGAACAACTGCGGTTCGAACAAATCTCATTCAATGGAGACTGAGTCAGTGGACGCGACTGGTTAATTCCGCTTGACCAATACTTTGTTCGGGACTGTCTGCCACAATTCCAGACAAAACGGCAAAGCTATATTAACTATTATCAGCGAAATCGAAACTGAGAGAACGAGTAGCAATATCACATTGAGCTCGGGGAGGGTGGTCCAGATAAGCTCTGAGGAGATCGTGGCAAGGGAACCCATTGATTGATTTCTTCGAGCGTCATGCCATTTGAAATTCGATACTACAATAGGTGGGGACGGTAGTTTTCGTTACCTCTCCACCTGTTATATTGACGGAACAATGTTCACGTACTCCATAGGCTCTTCCGATGTTGGCATAACTGACAATGATGGTGGCTTGTACAGTAGGTGTGTGAAGATCATAAACGATGATATGTGGACTTCTAGTTTTGAATTGACGATCCGGTCGGGGGAACATTTGAGACTGATATTGGCAAAAGAAGAGGATGAAGGTACTTGAGGAAAGGGTGACGTCTCTCCGACCGCAATGAGCGACATCTTGTTTATCTGACGTACTGCGGCGACCAAAAGTTTGCTGCGTCGACTCCGAGTCAAGCCTCCTGTCAGTTTCCAGTTCGAAACCGCCGGGAAGAGCAGTTCAGAACCGCCGCTAGCACAGCCTAAGTAAATTAAAATTTTAATTGTTGAAGTTAAAGATGATGATAAGAAAGAGAGCACACGAACATG